TGGATCTAATTATTATACGTGCTATGCACCAAAGCTCTCCTTAAGAGAGTTTGGGTTTGAACAAATTACAGACATTAAGCCAATATTTGGGACGGTTTTTTCAGAGTGAGGGAAGAAGGAGAGGAAAGAGTTGTGGGGTTTTTTTTTGCTTTCCATTAAGATATGGGGATAGAACTGATAGGCGAAAAAAAGACTGCAGATTTAAAGAACACTTGCTGGTGCATGTGCCAGATGCTGATAGCTATATATAGCCACTCGAATGAGAATGACTGCAGAGAGTATCTTATCCAGGCAAATAGTATTTTGCCTGAGTAAGATCAGGGCAAAAATGGGGGGAAAAAATAAAAAATAAAATCAACATTTAATCTATTGTGCATTACTTCTGCTGCAGAAGTTGTGTAAGTACTCTGTGAAGTGGAATAAGAATGTGTCCTCATGATGACCTTATCTGCATTTCACATAAATGTGTTCCCAAATTTAACAGTACCAAGTCTATCCTTTTTGCCATTAGACTGCTAGTCATTCTTGAATACAACCTCGATTTCCTTGCTCCATAACCCTTAGAGAAGTAAGCAAAAGACAATAAATAAGGCTTCTTCAATGTAATAAAAAAGCAGCATGCAGCCTATAAGATGAAATTCAACAACAGAACTCAGATATAAAGAACATGATTTGCCATCTTAGGTTTTTCTTATTGTCTCACTCAACAAAATTTTAGAAAAGAGAGGCACTTGATTTTCCTGCCTCTTTTCTTCTATCCCTGGTATCAAATTTCTCTTCCCTTCTATCCAATACAGTGGGTTTTTACCTACAGCAATGTAATTTCTAAGTAGTTCAAAATGTGAAATAGCAGTACTTGAGATGACGAGCTATCATTTCTACAGAGCAGTATGATAATTTTGGAAGGACCAGGAGGTTGGGTATGGATTCTAATTAACACTGATGAACCTGGCTCCTAAAGATTAAATTCCCACATGAGTAACTGTTACCTTTCTACACACAGGCCTATCCAAGTTATTCTCATTAAAACAATTAAAAAAAAAATTATAAGCTTCAGTCTGTGTCAAGATATTGAAGGCTTTCCAAAACTGATTAAAAATATTAAATGAGGTATTGAACTACATTAAAAATCAACCTTTTTCGTGTATTGAAAAGTAATGGTCTATAATTTGTATTCAAGTGATTTTATTTCCAGTGCATAATAATTGTACTGCAGCCAACTTTGTGCCCTGTTTCTCTGAAAACCTCAAGGGATGTACAGAAGAGGATTTTGTATCTTCTGCTGAAGATACACACTTTGTGTGACACTGCTTCTTATTCTTCAGTTCTTACAGGGAGGCTTAACTTTGTTTCGTTATGTGTTTATTTTTCTGCTGATGGTTCCTTCAAACTGGTAAACACAAATGTAAGTGCACAGGTATTAGATATACTGATAGACTCCAGAAAGTAGTACAAGCTAAATGCAAGTGCATGGAAACAGAGGACTCAACTTGGTCATAACTCACCATTCACTTCTTTACTTGATGAGGCCAGCCAGCTTCTCCCCTGCCCCCTGCCCCCCAGTTTTTCCTCCTTTGAGTCTCATGTTTTATCTCACATCTACACCCTGCACTCACAGCTTGCTTCCCCTCTTAGCATCTTTTTTCCTTACAGACTCCTGCAGTTTAGTTTTCAATTCATTTAAACAGCTGTATAACTTGTCTAGGCCAAGTTGAAAAGTATAAGCTTTGGACCATGGTATCAGTGTGAACATGTTTTAAGAGCTGGAAAAAAAAAAAAAAAAGTGTGATCACAAAATTAGGTCTGCAGACAGAAACGTGGTGGGTGCTGGCTGCTCCTCCCCCAGCCAGTACAGGGGCCAATACTGTTTAACATCATTAATGACCTGGATGATGGGGCAGAGGGTGCTCTCAGCAACTCTGGAGATGATACAAAACTGGGAGGAGTGGCTGATACACCAGAGGGTTGTGCTGCCACCCAGAGGGACCTTGACTGGCTGGAGAAATGGGCCAAAAGGAACCTCAAGAAGTTCAACAGGAGGAAGTGTAAACTCCTCGATATGAGGAGGAATAACCTTAGCACCAGTACGGGCTGGGGGCTGACTGGCTGGACATGAGCTCCTCAGGGAAGCACCTGGGGGTCCTGGTGGGACAACAAGCTGACCAGAAGCCAGCAATGCCTCACGGTGCTGCCTACACTAACCCCCAGAGCATACCACCCTACCCTACATAGCCCATGTCAGCCACACACATATGTCTGCTGTTTTAGCAGACATAAAGCTTCATTCCATCACCTGCACTCCAGATACCCTATCCCCAAGCTCTCTGCCCCTCTCCTGCCTCTTATATTCTCCTGGCTGCTCGTTGGCAGCTTTCTGCCACTCTCATTTCTGATTCCATATAGCTTCCCAGACACTGTTGTAGCCCACTTTTCAGCCTGCTTTCCCTCACAATCATCCTATATGGCATCTCTACTCTTCCCATGGCCACTAGGGATACAAGGTCTTTCGTGACCATCATCTTTAGCCCCCATCTTGAAGAAGAGAGGCATCTATTTGCCTGCAAATGTTCACAAGTCCATGACAGCTTTTGTGCTGAGAGCAGCTTAAAACCTCTGTCCCTAGTAGGGGACAGTGAACATTTGATGCAAAGGAGAAGTTTTATGAGCTTGAAAGCAGAAAGTTAAAAAACACATGGAAATTCTTACAAAACTGTACTAGGAGACGTATGATACAAATAACAAGAATGGAAAAACATTTTGAAATAAAAAGAAGTATGATTGGATTAGGCAACACTGACAGAAAAAAACTTTCATTCTTGGTCAATATCTCTCCCTGTAGCAATACAGTTACCAGTTTCATCTTGTGCCACTTGGGATGGAAAATGTTAGAACAAAGGAAAAGTCAGGATAAAGGAAGAAAAGCTGGGCACTTTTATCACCAGGACTCTCAGCCCTCCAACATGAGACCTAATCATTGTCTTTCATTAGCTCCAGTTTCCAACCCCAACACCTATAGTACCTAGTATTTTTCTTCTAATTTGTCCACAATTTTTTATAATCGCTTAGCTTTTTAACCTACCAGGCAATATTTTTGTCCACTTCCTTCAACTTCAGTTAAATGTTTATATTATGTTATCAAATACCGTTTCATTAATACTGCATCCCATAAAATCTATGAGAAGCTGCTGAATGCTTCAGTAGCTACCCTGCAGTCCAGTCTCTCCTACCACAGCCTACATTGCCATCAGTGTCTAAGCAAGTTATTTTAAAGCAATCTCAAATAAGTCTATACGTCTAGAAACTGCAGTGTAAATTTACCCTTATGCATTGGCATGGATTACATACAACAAATGAAAGCTTTCTTTCCGGAGGTAGGCGAATTTGGAATGCAAATGGTAAATCCTGAATTTCAGACAAACAAATGATTGCCTATTGAAACTCCTTTCCAAACTAGTCCTTAGAGTATTGCATACATGTAAAGGGGGGAAATTTTAAAGATCCAGACAATTGCCACAGGCATCTTTAATTCTAACAATACTTCCCACTTGCAGATAGAAGCACATGTCTGAAAAAGGTAATAATAGCTAAATGGATATTAGTATCTGCCGTTACCTGATCTATGTGCACAATTACAGCAGTTTGTGAATGCTAAATTTGCTTATCAAATCTGGCTTAAGAGCCTAAAATAACCCCTTTTCAGGAACAACATATCACCTATGTGTTGTTTGGAACTGATGGAACTTCAACTTAGAGAAAAAACACATGGGTATAATGCCTAAAAGAGCTGAAAGAAGTAATTGCTTCCAGAGAGATTTCTTTCTTTCCCAAACCGAACCAAAGGGGGAATACAACAGTCAACTCCATTTCTGAAAAACAGGCATTAAGAGGCTAGAGAACTCCACCAAAAATTAGATTTTTCCTCTCCTTTAACAACACCAGAAACAAAAATGTTAAGACTAAAAGCATCTCAAGACACACCACAGCTGTCAAATAAGAGTAAACAATCATTGTCTCTGCTCTGAGAAGGTCACAGTGTTTCAGCCAAATAGAGTCGCTTAGTCCTGTAAATACTAAAAATGGTTTATAAATTGGGACCTCTACCAATTTGCACAAAAGGATGATGTGACCATCTTTGTATTGGCATACAGGTCTCTGACTACACCCCAGAAAAAAAAAAATAATCACCAAAATTCCGCCAAAATCAACCATTTCCTCCTCATCCAAAAAGAGCAAACAAAAAATTACAGACTGTATAAGTGATAAAGCAAAGTGTCCTACTGGCATAGAAGGAACGTGAAATAAATGAACATAAAATAAGTCCAAGCAGAAATCTTTCATATCTACTGCTGATAACAGGAATGTTGTCTAGAAGCATTTTCAGACAGGTTCTCATACTTGCAGCATGGCTGGTGATTCTTTAGGAAGCAATCCTCAGTCTTCTCAGAAATTGTTTTGAAACAGAAACAGATACTATGAACTAAAAGAAGAGTCTCATTGCTGTATTCTTATCTAGTCCACAAATTTCATATTGTTTAAGTAATTTATTTAGATTCTATAACTACTTTGGCATCATTGAGGATGGGAGAACTACTTCTGATCTCAAGCACTTCATTTAATCATTGCCAAAGAGAGAGGTCAACAAAATATGAACAGTTAGAAGTAATACACCTGCCTAGCAAAAAAAATAATAATAAAAAAAGTATCCAGACTTTATATGTGGACACTCAGGAAAAAAAATCAGTGAAATAGTATATGCTACTATAAAATGTGCCATTGTAGGAAGTGTTATGGTCCTGAAGACAGTGAGCATTTCACTGTTGAGATATCTTTATATTACTGTGAGGCTGCTATTTGCAATACACTATGTTGATGTTAAAAAAAAATTCAACCTCCAAATGAATATGATAAAAATGTGTAAAGAGGCAGATGCAATTTGCAGTTCTAAGGTATCATCCATCCATCCAAGGAGGTTATGTCATAAAAAGCATAAAAACACTTACCTCTTCTTGCTTAGGAATGCTGAACTTGGCTATCTTTGACTTGGTCCTGGCTGAATCAGGCTTGTTAGAAGGCACTCCCCTATACGACTTGGTCGTCTCTGCTGGTAACTTCAGCTTTGGAGACTCATCAGGAGCCTGGTCTTGACCGTCCATTGGCCTTACATAAGCTGTTGGTTTGTGCTGAACCAGACTGGGCTTTGAAGCAAGAGAAGGTGGGAAGTTTTGGACACAGTGACTGCCACCATGCTTTGCTGGCCTCTCTTGAGCTTGAGCTCCTCCTTCCGAGCTACAATTGAGCTTTGCCGGGTGCTGCACTCTGTTGATGTTGTCTCCTAGTGTGGCCCTCAGTGAGCTTTGCTGGGCAGTGTTGGAGGAGGAGGAGGAGGAGGAGGAAGTGGTGGGACTCGATGCATAGCGTTTTAGTTTCTCTAGACTGGATTTTTGGTTTGCCAGTTTGAAGTCACCCTTGTGTGACTCCAGCGACCGGTGCCCGTGCTTGCTCACTCTCTGCTGGCCATCTGAAGTGGCATTGTGCCCGGCTTTCTGCCAGCCCATGGTCGCGCTTTTGTTCTGCTGGGCAGATAGGGCTGCTGGTGTGGAAGAAGTAGTGCTGGAAATAGGGGGAGGAGGCGGTGGTCTCGAGTTTGCTACAAGATGTTCATCGAGCTTGGGGAGAGACGTCTGAGGAACCCCAGGTTTTGGAACCCCAACAAGATGGCTCTGGTTTGATCGGTCAGTTAACAAGTCTTTCATTTCATCATAGTTGCCCAGCGTATTCTGGATGCGATTCGAGAGCTCATCCCCCTTGTTAGTCTGCAAAACAAAAATCCGAGTGTTCTGCAACAGTCAACGTAAGAAAAACAAAATTCCCTGCATGCTTCTGCTGAAATCCTTACTGAAGTAGCACTGCCTTATTCAGCAGCGGCGTTGAGGGATGAAATCGAAAATCCTTATTGTCTCTGAAGACACTTGTCAACATCTTAAATCTACCCTGAACTGGAAAAGCTATAAAGGGCCTTAGAGTATATAAAAAAAGAAATCTATCACTGGTATCATGCTGTAGTTAAAGTATACTACCTGGAAACTAGAAAATTTACTATTGCAACTACACAGAATGGTTTGGATTAAATCTGACCATGATAAAACTTTTCCTATAGCCCAGTGCAAGCTCTCCTTCAACCATGAATGAAAACACTGCATTCCCAATTTCCTTCTCTGCCTGCCTAAGTTTTCACACGCCATCTGGGAAGCCACACAACATCCAGTGTAAGCACTGAATGAACTCACCAGTCTAAGCCAACCAAATACTCTGAGGTGACTTGAAGACAGTTTGTGGAACAACAGGAAAACTACAGATGATTATGTCCCTTCTTTGAAAATACTCTGACAGGCTGCTTGCTCCCAGGCACTCTCCACTTAAAAAAAAAAAAGAACAGAACCCCCCCAAATTATTCACATTGCTGAGTGCTTGCTGTGTGCAGCGGGGGGAAAGCGCCACCCTCCCTCCCCTTTAATATTAATCATTGTCTTTAAAATCATCCATTTACTTCCTGGCTGAAAAGGCAGAAGCTCCACAAAGAAATAAAACGAGCAAATAAAACATACTGGAAAAGACTGAAAAATCTTGCTCTAAAAAGCCACTGTAAGCAAAAGGGTGTATCATTAGCATTTACGCAGCAGAGATTTTTCTGAACCCTGCCAAGATTCAGGCATGTGATGTTCTTTGCTTTACGTTTTCAGAGAAGACAGTAATGAGCCAGCGGTGTTCTCCTTTCTCTCTTCCAGACATGGGGTCTGGATGGGAAAACTCCTATTGCCTTCAGAAGGCCAAGCCTTCATCTCAAGACTCTCTGTTTTAGAGGAAAAGGGAAAGAAGGAAAAAGAGGGGAGTAAAGGGAGTGGAGAAGACCCCCTTAAAGTTATATAAAAAATACAAAAGATATAGTAGCAACATCAGTTACTCTGGAAAATTGGGGGTATTTTTGCTTCTAAGCCTTCAAATAAAATTGAATCGCTCAAACAAAAATGTAAGAGAAACTCCCCTAGTCCAGAATCTTTTTTTTTTTTTTCAGGGTTCCTATTAAAAAAACTGAATCCAAGCAAAAATGCCCTATAAATGAGTGCAGTGACTGCCACATGCTAACTTTCTGAGGACTACAGTGGAAACATTCCTAAGTCAGAGAGTAGAAGCAGTCGCGTCTTCTTGAAACTTGTCCCCTCAAATTTCAAGGACACTACCATATAAGTACGTAAAATACATTACAGCTAGCTTTTCAATATGCATTTGTTACAATGCTAACAGAGTTGAATATATATCAATAATATATGTTGAAGGGAAGCGGGAAGGGAAAAACTCAAAAGTGTTCCATCTGAAACATTGCTTTGCAAACTTAGAATAAGATGGCTCAACCACTACAGACTGATCTTCTCTCTGCATATGCAACTGTTGTTGTCACAAGAACAGTAACCTGCTATGACAAGAAATATGAAGCATTAATTCACAGACAGCAAGTGGATTAAAAAAAGAGTGTTCCTTTACTTGATAGGAATCACATCGATGTCGCAAAGAAGAGGAAGCTATTAATGAGGCTTCAAAAGTGGGAAGCATCGCATACATCTGAAAAGAAAGAAGGTTGGAGATACACTCATGTGTCTCCTGCGATCAATTAAATAGCTTTTACACTTGGGCATCACCTTGACCAGCAGAATTACTTCCCAGAAGGCACAGAAAATTTTCCTTTTACCCAGTGGATCTCTTCTATGCTTCCAGTGGATCTTCCAACTTGTGTAGATACCTTGTAGAGAAACACATTTCCAGCTTCCCTCAAGGGAGGAAGATCTGCCCTTGGGCCTGCACCCAGCCTGATTCAGCCAGCCTGTGTGTGTGAGGTTTCCTTCCCTGCCAGGAGCATGGCAACAAGGACAACCAAATGGAACAGGGCTCCTGACGCCCACAAGTCTCCTACAGCACAGATGGTTCGTGGGGCAGCTCTCCATCCAGCTGCCTCTCGGTCCTCATGCAGGGGAATTTATGTGCAAGTTTTGCCCTTGAGTACAACTTCCTTAACAGAAGGTCCACTCTTTCTGATGGCTGCTATTTGGATGGGAAGTAAATAAAAGCCTAATTTCAGATTATCTGTAGACTATCGCTAGCCCAGAGAATTCAGCAGATTGTCTTCTATATGGATGTGATGAGAAGGTCACACAGAGACACCTCGTATTGAGAGATCCCTGTTAACCACAACAATAATTGCAGCAAACCTGTACCATGGCACATGCTGGCAACCAGCTGGTGTTGTTTATTCCTTCTGGATACACTGGGGACAACCTGAGGTGAGAAGATTTTGTGTTGAGCTGATCTCATCCGGAAGAGTTCACCTACATCCTTTTGGGAACAAGATGGGATCTGAGGTAACTTGTTATGAGCTTTAGATGAAACAGTTTGTCCTATTATTTGCTCTGAAATATTGCTGGCCTTATTTAATCATTCACATAGAGAAAACACGATCACAAAATGAGTAAGTAGGAAAAGCATTCTGTGCAAACATTTCTAATTTACGGTGCTCTCATATTCTTCTGCAATGCATTAGAAGACTGCAAGATTCAACACTTCTAAAAATAAACCCGCTGGTTGCATGGGAGGGCATCAGATTTTTTTTCTTCATTAAAAATACTGATATGGTTAATGAGGCAAGGTATTCTGTCCAGGAAATATCTGGAATGAAACTCCTACTTTTTACCCCCTGTAAAAGACATTTTAAGTAAAAGATACTGGATTTCCCGTAATCCTTCATAAAGGGTTGCTATGGATACTTTGAATAGGATAAGGGGCAACCCGAAGAGTCAGGATTTTTCAGAAAATCTGATGTTACAGGAGTAGTGATACATGTCAAGGTGAGAGAGGACATAAGATTTAAGAGATTTCCAGTCTGCCTTTGATTTTCAGATATGGCCTTCTGAATGGCAAATCCTTTGGCTTTAGCTCATGTTTCTCAAGCTGTGCAGAGGAATACTGAATTTAATCAGAGCTTGCAGTGAATGTCTGCTGTACCTTCATTCCCCTCTAGAAACACCTAAAACTTGAACATGATCTTTAAAGACAGTAAAAGTGTGGGTTTCAGTTTTGCTTTCGCAGAAAGATTTGTTCTTTGCAGTCAGCCTCTCTCCACGATAAGATCAAAAGGCCCAAGCCATAGCTCTGCACCCCCACACTGAAGGTTCACAAATGCTTGGAGGAGTTCAGGCAGCGCAATGGTCCACTGCCAGTGTACACATGACATTCAGAGTATACCACCACTGAAGTTTTGATGTCCAATACTGTCAGAATGACTGGTCATCCCAAGCAGCTGTGACTGTCATACTGACAGAGCTGTGGGTGAGTCATACTGCTGTCCTCAGCTTCGCCTTTCTCCACGTCTTCTTGACCAAGCCAGCTGCAGGATGTATTTCTGCAGCACCTTCTTTACCTGCTTGTCCAAAATAGGGACACAGAGTTCAAAGATAAGAAGCATGGATGGAGCCATTATTCTGATCTCCCCATAGGACACCCACTCAGTATCCTCTCCGCTTCTAGAGATGGCAATGATTTTTCATCCACTCCTATTAGAGTTGATGGAATTACACTGTGGTTGCATAGACGTGCCTTCAGACATCATAACTCAGAAACTAGTGGTGCATCTGTGATACATGAAGTCTGTGCCATGACAGTCAGTACACTGGCAGACAGGTAATAATCAAAGTGCACAAAATATTCCAACTATACCACTTTTACAAGGCATTTGAGCTTCAGTATTACGAACTTTACGTACCACAGACAAAATGGTATCAGAGACCCAGCAAAAGGACAGGCCCTTTTTGTGAGGGGTGTATTTGACCGGACCTACCAAATGGAAAATTATTAAGTCCCCATTGCAGCAGAGCCCTCATGAAATGCCAGACACAGCTTCCTTAAGCTTTTCAGGCTTTTTCCCATGCATTATCCCTTGATTGGTCTCACAGTAGACTTTTTCAAGTAGAGCCTTGAGGAGTTCAAGACATTTCCCATGGTTTCTAAATGCCTTTGTAATGAATCTGAATTTCGGGTAGCTGGAGGTCAGCTTCAAGGCAGACAGAGCTGTCTTCTATCAAGGGACACACTTTGAAACTGGTAGGGCTTTCTTTTTTATTAGGGATGAGAAAGAAGCAACAATCTAGAAGAACAGCAAGCTAAAAGCTGAGCCTGGAGCATGGGCAGAAACACGGGAAGCAGGGAAGTCAGGTGCAGAAGCCTGACTCCTGGAAAGTGGCACTAAAGCACCCAAAGCATCAAGGACAAGCGATGCTGCATGGAGGGAAAGGCTTCACAACGTGGTGGTTGTAACAGTAACTTGGATGTTACTGGACGGGCACAGCAGATGATACACGATGATGCTTTGATGAGTGCAGGGAAAATCACTGGGTTAGCTGGGGGAGAGGAGCAGCCCCCATGGGATACCACTCCCTGGTCCTGTTCACAAGGGCTTGGTTTGCAGGCTTCTGCAAGGTGCAGAAGAACCTGCTTGACCCTTCTAACAAGAAGCGGGGAAGGATGGTTTTGCCTCATCACACTACTGTTAGGAGGAATAAAACAGGGAGTTGAGACTCGTTAAGTTACTTCTGCCTTTGGTGAGGGCAAAACATGTCTAGCAGACAAATTTTGTCGGTAATGCTTACAGGGAAAAAAAAAAAGTAAACACCGAGATATTTCATTGCATTAACCTTGGCCAGAGCATAATGTTTACTGTATTGCTTGACCTTCACACGCAATTCTAACACAATTGTTTTTTTCTAAGCGTTGCAAAAACAGGGCACCGTCACCTTCACCTCCTAGTTTTAATTCCACCTCAAATATTGTTAGGTTATTTCTAGTTTATTTCATTCTCGTCTGCTGCTGAACATTACAAGAAGCTTTTATATATATATACACACACGTATATATAAAATCCGATTCTCAATGAGCCATAAATTTTCTCTGTGAATTTTCTGAGGCTAGCAGTTGTGGGAGAGTGCTGAAACCCGGACAATGCCTTCTGCAGGCTGCATTTTTGTACTGTGGAATAAATAAATAAATAAATAAGCTGCCCAGCTGGGAAGCATCTACCTTGTATGGTTCACTGAAGAGGGAGTAACTCGTGTTAAATGCGCCATCCTCCTGCTGGGCCTCCTGATTTCTCCTTTCCCATTCTTTCCTTCTCAGCACGTTTCTATCTGGCTCGTAGACACTGCAGCAAAAAAAAGAGGAATAGCTTTTTAAGAGTTAAAAATTAGTGGGCAACATATAAACCAGCGTGAATTCAAAAGTGAAGAACTCTGGTTTGCAGACAGATGGCAAAAATAAGCAAGAACATGAATGCGATGAATGCCAGTCCAAGCAGGCTGGGGAGGCTCAGGTCTCTGGGAATGCTGGTGCTTTCTTCACACAGAGAATAGATAATTAAATTCTTACAGAAGAATAAAAAAGAAATCACAGGGCAGGATCTAGTCTGTGCAGAACTTCGCTGCTTGAAATGTGACAAAGGAAATATCTAAGCAACTTTGACAAAGACTGAAAGTACTCTTAAGGCAGATGGTAATTACAGCTATGAGTAAATAGAAATTATGAACATATTTCCACTTATGACATATCCTCTGAGTGTTGTATGAGAATGCTCCTTTTTTTCACATGGATGTGTTTCTGTAGTGATTCTTTCATTAACTAGCTCCCTAAAGAGCTGTTAAAACTACATGCTGTAGTGGTTTCCACAGTTAGGCTGCTTCTTCTGATCTCTGTTAATCAGCCGAGTCGTGAAACTACTACTGAAACAATTCCTCTTTCTGATGGATTTGACACTATCACAACTTCAGAGCATGAATAAATGAATACCGGCACGATAGTGTATGTATGGCTGGTAGAGTGTAGCTGGAGAGAGAATAAAATGACTGCATTACACAACAGTGTTAATTTTTAGAAATGAACTAGACTCCAATATAGACATCCAGAATAAAAATTAACTTCTTCCCCCCCTCCACCTTGAATTCTAGTTGAATGCATGACAACATAAACCAGAGAATCTTTTCCCTGAATTTCCACAGAACAACACAGGGTTGCACACTTCAGTCTGTTATGTTTTATTCTCCCCACAAAGGAAACCAATGTGTCTAATAAGGTTTACGTGTTATTTCAGGACAATGTGATGAGTATGCTGATTGCCTATTTTGCTTAGCTCAGCTAATGCCTTTCTTCTGGCACTGTAAATCTGTAAAGCAGAAATATATATTAATGTCATGTAAGTGCACCATGTGTTAATAAGAAAAAGGTTGTCTTGCTAACCAGTTTCCCAGTTAGCAAAACATATGTTGCATCGGCTACCCACGTGACGTTACCTAGTACGCCTCAGGCAAGGCAGTCAAAAGGCCAACAGCTATCTGATTCTAATTCAAGACTTGAGTGAGCTGAAAATACATAGGATATGTTAGACGATGTTAGTATTTAAAAAACAATGCCTTAGCAGTCACCAAATGAACACAGAATCTTATCTTTACTTGTCAATGCTGCTAACTTGAACTGGAGTGCGGAGGACCCTTCTGATGGGTCTGAGGGCAGATGCCAAACGCTGACTGGGGGTCTCAAACACAGGAGGTTATTGTGAAACTCAGGTTGGAGGCAGCTTCCAACCCCCAGTTTGTTTATTCCACTTACAGGTGGTTGAGGTTTTGGGGGTTTTATTCCTTATTTTTCATGAGCAATTCCATGTTATTCATGCCAAGACCTTCTCTTTGAAAAGCAGAGTAATGAGGAGGTAATGGCAGGGGTGGAGTTTTGGTCCTGGAAAATGGTTTCCTCCAGGAAGAGGGGGATAGCGAAGGCCTCCCCACAGGGTCCCTGTGAGTGGAGATCATCTGCTGCATGCTCTACCGAGGCCAGAGGCAGAGCAGTTGTCATTTACTGCTAGGCAAGCAATGGTCCTCAGTTACCACACCATGCTATCTGAGCATGCTCCCATCAGTTCAGTCACGGTAAAAGACCTCCTAACAACAACCTTTGTGTGTAAAGTAGATTTTCTGCCACCCTGAATAGCTGATGTTAGGTTGGGGGTTTTCTGGAGTTGCAGGGGTGAAATTATAACTTCATTCTCAGCCACATTTCCCCATCCAGACCCTCTTGACTCTTTGAGATGCTTTGCGTTGGACTCTAGCCTGCAGTCAAATAGAGGTGGGCAGCTCCCCTGAGATTAATTATAATACTGATCTCTACCCGGTTTCTAGGAAGTAAACAAGTGCAACATTCTTCACGAGGCCTCATACAAATTTAAAAATGCACTGGTGTGATACTCCTAAAGTGGGAGGGCATTTTTATCCCTGTATTTGATGGAGACATATTTGATGAAGACATCCAAGATGTCAGATCTCTGAACCCCCTTCCCGAGTGAGAAGTTCACTGTTGGCAATGCAATGCACAACCTGCGATAATTCAGAATGATTATGGAAATGGCAAAACTGTGTGACAATGCCTAATATGCCAGCTATAAGCAGTTAAGTTAGGAAGAGCTACAAGTTGAGAATGTATTCCTTTGGTAATACCAGATGGCAAAATCTCCAGCATTTGTGAGGCTGCTCCTTATTTGCATGAACATTGCAACAGTCACATTTCCTTGAACGTATGTCACCAAATGTATTTATTTATTTTGGTTCAAGAAGAATACTGCCAACTTCTATCACTGTCTTTATTGCAAACACTTCAGTTAATGGAAAATTATTCTTTTTAATACTTTTCTTCCTTCTTTTTTTAAAGTTTGCAATTTAAAACAATCCCAAATGTACATGTACCTTTTAAATAATTTACAGTGTGTCTTTTCCATTGTTAAGCCATGAAGAACAAGTTCATTAAAATCTTAAGAGTTTTTCCTCATTGGGGCATGTGTGCGTATGTGGGTGACGTATGCATATGTATGTATTATATGCACACTCGCACATCCATTTATTGAGGAAGAGTTTTGCTAGTATGGGCCAAAATGTTGAAGCAGTTTTGCAAGTCTTGGAAGCCAAAGAACATGCAACCATTCATGTCTCAAAAGTCAGTGTCATTTATATTTGTTTCATACAGGTCAAACTCCAAAAGGATGAATTTTAATTGTTTTTAAATGGTATATTGTTATTTGTAAAATGCTGCATCTGTTTCAAATTCATGCTTAAACTGACATGAACTGAAGCATAACCAACAAGACAAATGCAAGAGCTCTATATGAATAAAAGTTGTATTGTAACAATTACACTATCTCGAATTCAGCACACTGCTTTGAAACCACACCGTGATTTATCTCAGCCCTAAGATCTGCCAAGAGACATACTGGACTTACAAATGAATTATGTCCAAACACCAGTGTCTCAGACTCAAAGCACTTTCAACACACCATCACCACCACACGGTCACAGCAGCCCTACCTCCTCTGCATCTTCGAGGATGCTTTGACTAATTTCACTCTCAGGTATTTTACAGGTCAGAATCCCAATGGATTGCCAAACTTCTCAGAGTAGGTATGTTCAATAAATTTTGATCTGTTGTGATGCCTTTTGGAAGATTACCTTGATGGCCACCCACTCTTTGGCCGTGCACTAGGTGAGCGTGGCTCCCCACGAGATCTGCCTGATGAGGAGAGCCCAGACACGCTGGTGCCTGATGGGAGGGCGGCTGTGGCACCAGCCTCCCCACAGTACTGACAGAAATGCTTATATCTTTCTTCATGCTACTCCTGCCATCAGAAGGAACCGCTTCCTTTAGTCCTTAATTAGAAATAGACAGAGACCACTCAGGGGACAGCCAAGGAGCAGAGCAATAAACTTACCTGAAAAACCTGGGACTGGATTTAATCTCTTACAAAGTCCAAAGAGTTATGTAGTCTCAGGCTAGGCTGAAAGCAATCATATAAAAAGCCTAACGTTTTAAGCGTTGAAGAGTCTCCTTTTCCTTTTTTTTTTTTTTTTTTTTTTTTAAAGCACACTATTTCTGACTCAATTTACCTCCCTCAGACATCACTACTTGGAACAACTCAAATAAAAAGGTCTAATCTCCATGATGAACTGCGTGGAGATACTGCACCAACATATTCTCCTGTCCTTCAGTTTTAGGGAACGCCCGAGTTTTGCATTCAGAGGAAGATGTCCTTTTCCACAAACTAAAGCACTGCACCTTCACTGAGGAATTACACGTCTTCGCAGACGTATGGTGTGCATTAACGATGCTGCTTGACCTTTTCAGCAACCACAGAATTGCCGCATCACTACGGGGAGATTCAGGAAGGATACCGTTATTCTGCTCCGAGATCACCAGCCTCGTAACAGCTGGCATCGTTGAGGCTGTAAAAGACATGGGTAGGTAAATTGAGGGCGAGATCGCTGGTGCTCCCCTTGCCTCGCGTCAGTTTATTTTCTGGCACAGGGAGGGGGCAGTGACTCAGGCTGCCCTGCTGGCACCACAGGGGGAGGCATCACTGTGCCTATACACACACCTGGCGACAATTACCAAACTCGTTAGAGTTTGCAGGAACCTGCAATCTCGCCTTTGCCTTTCCAGACCTCCCAATATCATTTTCCAGTCCAAAGATTTAGTTCATTATTCTCTGAATTGTGAGGGCTTTGCAACATCCCCCCAACCCACACACCTTCCTTCTACTTCCCCACGCACATAAATATTGCGGTATAGATGTAGCAGGAGTAGCTTGTTTATTTGCAGTTAATGTTTTTGACCCAGGAGGCCGATCTGCTTCATCGCAGCAGCTAAGCCTGGCACTTCGCACAAAACTTTCAGAACCTGAAGTCTAGACATATTAATAACAAAAGCAGAGCTGACACCTCATGCTAACACGCCGCAGTTTCCTAAATTGGCAAAAACACAGTTCCCACGGGCTTCTGGCAGGTCTTTGCTAGGGAAGACCTCGATCCCATTTGCAAGGGCTGAGCCACTTTCCCAGATTCTGTTGGTTTCCTCATTTGTGCCCAAATTGACCCTTCTTCTTCCACCATCAGATTAAGAGGCTGCACACAAACCCCCGTCAGGCCGCAACACCCCCTCCCAGCGTCATGGAAATGATACCATCCCCAAGCTGCCAGGTGGAGCCCCTGAATATCCCCTGGGAGTGATCATATTCCAAACAAACAGAAAAAAAAAAACAAACCAAAACCAAACCAAAAACACAACCCACACCATAAGTGACCAAAAGATACGTGTGTTTCAAGAATAAAATCAGACCAGTGAACAAGTTTTCTGTGAGGACACATATATCTTTGAAATTTAATTTTAGCACACGGTCATTTCTGAATTATGAACAAAGCTGGAACTACTTCAAAACCATGAAAAACAGGCAGTAGGTCAAGAAAATAAATTTTAAAATGATTATTCTCAACATTTCCCCACAAATTGTGACCTGGCACACAAGTCAATATACTAAATTTCAGGCTGAAGCGAGGACAATTTCTTAAATATTTAATACTCTAATTCTCCCCTGAATTACCACATTTATGCCAAAGCAGCTAAATAGAGTAACTCCAGGGAAAAACTTATACAACAGAATAAAAAAACAGTCCAACCCTGGTGCTGGACACTGATTATAAAACTGAATTCAGAATGGAAATTGGATTCTGAATTTAAATGTGCCGTCATTCCCGTATCTCTGCAATATTTTAAATTACAAAAGGACTAACCAGCCTGAGACTTTGTAAAGGCAATAGCCCCAAACTTTTGTACAAAACATCTTGATTCTGACAATTTAATTACAACAATTCAGGTTATTCTGCTTGCTGAATTGCTGTGCTTAACATGAAAGTGCTATCATTTAATGCCTGTTCTCTATTTTACTGTTCATGTCCATGGTCTTGCCTGGCCAATTTCTTGGTACCAGTTCTATTTTCAGCGCAGTATAAACAATGCCTGTTTGGGAACTAATTGCTAATGGGTTATGGGGAGCTCTTAGAGATGGCAACCTTACATTTTTGAGCATTAAATATTTTCCCTAATGACATTTGAACTATCAGTTCAATTATAACAAAGGGGCTGCCTTTGGTGAACAAGTGGCATAATCAATAAAATACCTTCCTAGGTTGTAACCGACTTTTTTAGACTTTTTATCTAGCTTAAACAGCAGAAGTTAATTGGAGGATTTTTACAGTATTTTTTCCCATTTACAAACAGAAATGCCGTGGGGTAAAGCAATTACTCTGATTTACTGTTTTCACTTTGATTGAACATAAAGATGTAGCAGGGTCTCAAAAAAGCAGTAACTTAACAAACTGTGCTCCTATCCACAGACAGATAAAGTACCTACTTTGCTATTTCAAAGAGTTTACCTCCAGGCAGCAGCACAGAGCAAACATCAATCAATGACATGTGTCTAAGATGAGATTGATGTTTACTCTCACAGCTTTTCATCCTACATCCAATAAATTATTTTTCCTTCACCAAAATGCCTGGTTAAATTTCATTTTTCACTTTGCAGTATCAGTTTTAAAACTTTAGCTTCCAGCAATTTTAAAGCTAGGATTCATTGACGCTTCAGCTTTTACAGCCTGTTTATGATTTGTATTAACCATGAAACACTACCGTCCAAACATGAATACGATCAGGGGGAGCTGAGCTGGGCCGGCTGCTCGTGCAGTGGCAGGTGCCGGCTAGAAGGTGCGAGATTGCTTTAATTATCTGCCTGGAAATTCCGAGTCTGAAAACCGGGAGCTGTATTTTCAGGGGCAGATATATCGCATCTACCAAACGAATGCATATGTACATATCGTATCTGCAAAATCAGCATCTGAGCGTTCGAGGCAGGTCTTCTGAGGACTCAGGCTGGGCAACTGGAAGGAACCAAGGGAAGACTAATTGTGTGTGCAGTTATTATCCTACAGGCACCCACATCTGACATTCACGAAATGCGAGTGCTTTGCATGCAACCCGACTGAATTTTAAATATGTATTGAAATATTGAGAAAACCTAGGGTTGCAATTGAGACTGGGATCTAGGTTGTTGAGTCAGAGCAGTAAACATCACAATAGAGGAACATTAAAAAAAAAAATCCAATTTAGTTCAACACTTGCTTGTACAAGAGCACCTCTTCAAGCTCCGCTACAGACAAAACATGCAAGTTTTCTTCCCTCAGTGAAGTTTTGCCCAATGAGAGAAATTGAGACATAATTAATTTATTAATTTTTTTTTTTTTAGTTTCAGGAAAAATAACTTCATCACATTATAAAAATCTACCGGTCCGTATCCACAGTATACATAGTTATAAAAAAATTCACCATTCAGTATTAATGGATAATTCTATATTCAGTGCCTTACTGTTTTCTTTTTGCTATTAAGTGCTGGTGCTCTCTTTTACAATCCTAAAACTGCTAGTAAAAATACCAAAGATGGATGAAGATCTAATAATGACACTGAGCCAAGCCAGAAACAGAACATTACTATTACTTTTAATTTACACTGCTCTAACAATATGTTGTTTGGAAGTATATTCATAAGTTACAAATTCACCACTATTAATAATCTTACACCAGGAATGGGTGTTTCTTTTTCTCCACAATCCAAAATGACATTTAAAACCTCCAGAAATGAAATTGAGATCTTAGCTGTCGAGAAACAGACACTGTAGATGAGATACGGGGAAGTATTCCTTTTCTATCCTCATCCCTATTTTCCAAGTGGAGAGAAAAAAATTACCAAGACTGAAGAGCACAAACCAGACAAAGCACAGCGAAGCCCTTTTGTTTGATTTCGTTAATGTTACTTTTATGTTGTAATTCAAAAATACAACAGCTGAGGAGATCAATACGGAATCTTTTTTTCTGCCTAACCTAACACTGCTGAATTCCCTGGATTCACACAGCCTTACCGAACTTGGTGACGCCTATATCTGATCCAGTTTCTTCTTACATTGCTTCCCTGCCAGAGATGTCAGACACAACGCCCTACTTGTCTGTTTTTCTCCACACGGATTTCTGCTTTCCGTGGCATCCTTATGCATGGGAAACTGTTCCAGTTATCATCTGCCAAGCTTGTGTGTTTTGGTTTTTTTTCTTGAAACTTCCTCTTTAGGTTTCTTACAGTCATAATTAGTAAAAATGATAGTTGTTTTTTTTTTTTTATCAGCCATCCAACTCATCTCTGTAGAAGATGTGCACGCATAGGCGAATTATTCATACAGTGTTGGTGCATATCCTGAAGAGTTTACAGACTGAATGTTGCAATAAACTGAATTTACTCCTATCATTGCGTGATTTCAAGGGATGTTCTGAACATTTTAAACGCAATGAAAGAAATCTGGCCTTTTAAAAATCTATTTGACATTTTGCAGTATGTGTTTAATACTTTATTCAAAATGTTTGTTGAGCTTCTTATTGATGTGTTTTCTGAAAACTGGATTCCAGTCAATAAAGATCTTCAGTGCTAGTTTCAGTAGTAAAGGAAATGAAAACAAGTAGCCTGAAAATTGTGAAAAAATACGTTTTGCCTCTATGATCTTTTTCTTGAAAAAAGGTCTTTTTTCAGAAGAAAAACACCTCCTTCCTCCCATTTTTCTCTAGCAACTTAAATAGCCTATTCTTTCCATGGGGCTCTGACTAGCGATCCATCTACCCACAGCTAATTGCAGCATTGAGAAGTACACCAAGGTATACTTCACATAGCACACGAAAATTGAAAGCTCTCTAACTGGTAGAAAAATGTTATCACGCAATTCACCCTGGTGCGACTTGACTTAAAAGTAGCAAAAGCAAAGATTGTAATGAATCATTAAGGCCAGATCTAAGAGCACTTTGCCACTAGAGATAACAGCAGTGTCTATTAGAAAACATTCCTGGCACAGTAGCAAAAGGAGCAAAACTTTACAGACTTCCATGGATGACAAAGATAAGTAGTTTTAATTTAAGTCGTTAAATGCTCTTGGTGCTGCTAAGAACCCCTATGAAATATGAATGACAGACACACAGAGATTCAGTACCTAAATGTAAAGGTTGTGAAAACTCTTTGCTGTATTTATATTCTGTGCACTTGATTTTCGATCAACATTCAAAACTATCTGATGTCCAAAAGGCACCAAAATACAGCACTGACCTACAGGACACAGGATTGCAGCTTTATATAGCATTGCACTTTCATGGAAAGCCAAAGTACAGTATTTCATTATCAATGTGTCAGCTGTTAGTAACCATCAAACCTATGACTCATGAAAACGTCTATACGTGTTTTATTAACAAAGCAACATTTCCAATTTGCTCTTACTATAATGGATAATGACTGAAGGTTCATCAGGGTTAATCAAGAAAATGATGTAAATTTTATATTGTATTATGTTTCACTTGGCTTAAAATGGATCTTGGGTGACAATCTTTTTTATGTGTTTAATCATGATTTACAGCATTATGGAAACCACACAACAGCCCTGGTGTGAAAAAAAATGATGAACAAGTCAGTGCATAAGTCATCAGATTTTTATGCATTTGCAGAAAATCACTTCTTGGGATCTTCAGCGGACAGTCGCCGAGTTTGGTTTCTGTAGAAACAGAATCAATATGTTTTGAGATGCCGTGCTTTAATTTATCTCTCTTTCATATTTTATAGATAGATGGAGACCTTATTATAGCATTTTATATATTTCAGACGAGCCATCACTACATACAGGTAAGGCTGAACTGAGTTTTAAACAGATATATGTTTGCACGTCTACATGACAAAAATAAATTTGGATGATGTTAATAACTGAACATGAATATAAAGCAACAACCAAGTAGTTAAAACCTACACCAGCTGTACAGATGCAAAAAGAATCAGCCACTATAAATGCCCAAATAATATCCCAATCCACTAAAACCTGTGCTTTTCTGTCATGGTTTAGGCTGAACTGGCCACTGGGCGAGCAACAGATGCTCCCCCCTACCTCCCTTCAAAGAGAGAAGCAGAGGAGGGAAAAAGAGATTTATGAGTTTAGAAGAAACTAAACTACTTTAATGAAATATTAATCATAAAATAAAAAAGGAAACAATGAAATATATACAAAACTGTATCAAGCTCCCAGGATGACAATCACGTCACCGGCTGGCACTGGCGAAGTCCCAAACTGGACTCAGTGATGGCTGGGAACAGGATTCAGGATCTGGATTCAGGATCGGGATCAAAGGCATCAGGAACAGACAGATGTCCTCCTCAGACATCGGCCATTGAAGAAAGAGGGCTGACCCTTTGATCCCTCAGCTTTTATACTGGGCATGAGGCAGATGGGATGGAATACCCTGTGGGTCAGTTTTGGGTCACCTGTCCTGTCCACTCCTCCCCGCAGGTGGGACCCCTCTATGCTTTTCCACTTCTGACCCTCCAATGGGGCAAATACCAAAGTTCGCTGCCTTGGCTGTTACAGCAATAAGTATAAGCAGGAGCCTCTCTGCATTCCGTTCCTTGGCATCAACTATAACCGTAGGTCTTACCATTCTGAGAGCGAACACTGTCTGCACAATATGCTGTTAATTTCAGTAGTCAGAAGAGGCTTAGCTAAGAATTAAAGTTACTGAACAAAATTGGTCCTGTTTTACCTCAAACCAGGACATTTTCTTACATGAACACCTGAAATGTAGCTCACTATATGAAGAAATTGTGATTGATTTAGCAATAGTTTGTTTGTAGCAGAGCTTATAAGCATAAAGTCTTACTACGGGGAATTACGAGATTCCATCTTCATTCTGCTCAATTGAGGCAGAACAATTAGAAAATGGAATGAAAAATACACATGTGTAGAAAAACCTAAACCTAAACCTAAATCACAACCTGTATCTATCTACCTAGTGCCTACATAGCTTGCTTTCATAGAACAAAAAGGACTTTCACAGAACAAAAATAAGAAGCCTGGGTTCAAGTACCTAAGAAAGTTGTGGTTAATATATAACTTCAAGCTACAAACAGTGAAAAAGATGCTTATATAGAGGATGTTTAACTCTCCTTTCACAAGTAACTAGTACTAGCCAAACCTACTGCATTGCACCATACAGCTAGCTACCTTCTCTAAAATACATTCTATACATTTAAACTCCAGCAAACTGCAAATTTCTTCCCAGTTCCTTCTTCTGAAAATGGAGAATTAACGGTTTATGCTTGACCAAATAACAGTATCACCACATATCCTTGGAACCTGCACAGGAAAAGTGCACAGCACACAAACCATAGGACTTTTAGTTTCTTATTCATTCTATCCTGCTTGCCCTGTGTGGCTCTGTCGTATTTTGACGTGTAACCCCAAGGGATAGGAATCAAAATTAGGAAGAGAAGAATGTAGCCAAAACCAGCATACCCATGCATAAAAGGATAATCTATGTTCATACATGAATAAAAATGCATACATGTTAAAATGATGAAAAAGTTAAAACTTTGATGCCCTGTGACTGCTGTAATTCATGGACACTGCTTACATGTGCTAGTCCTAATTCATTCTGCCTAGGAAAATGACTATATCATAACTCCTGCTGCCCACCTCCAGGGCTGCACAGATAAGCACCCATGTGCTCCCTTCCTTAAGTGACATGCAATGGGAAGTGAGGTATTTTATCTATCATTATAGAAAAAAAAATATTTGAAATAAACATTTATTTTTTTTTGGTTTGTGCCTCTCTTGATGCTCTGCTTCTGCTTAAGAGTGGTGGTTCAATGACCTGGATAAAGGGATAGAGTGTACCATCAGCAAGTTTGCTGATGACACAAAACTGGGAAGAGTAGCTGACACACCAGAAGGCTGTGCCACCTTACAAGCATGACCTGGACAGGTTGGAGAGTTGGGCAGAGAGAAACCTTATGAAATTCAACAAGGGCAAGTGTAGGGTACTGCATCTGGGGAGGAATAACCCCATGCGTCAGTACAGGTTGGGGGCTGACCTCCTGGAGAGCAGCTCTGTGGAAAGGAACCTGGGAGTCCTGGTGGACAACAGGATGACCATGAGCCAGCAATGTGCCCTGGTGGCCAAGAAGGCCAATGGCATCCTGGGGTACATCAGGAAGTGTGTGGCCAGCAGGTCGAGGGAGGTTATCCTTCCCTTCTACTCTGCCCTGGTGAGGCCGCATCTGGAGTACTGCATCCAGTTCTGGGCTCCCCAGTTCCAGAAGGACAGGGATCTGCTGGAGAGGGTCCAGCAAAGGGCTACGAAGATGATTAGGGGACTGGAACATCTCTCTTATGAGGAAAGGCTGAGGAACTTGGGTCTCTTTAGTCTAGAGAAAAGAAGATTGAGGGGGGATCTTACTAATGCTTACAAATACTTAAAGGGAGGGTGTCGGGGGGATGGGAGCAGTCTTTTTTCAGTGGTGCCCAGTGATAGGACGAGGGGTAATGGGCACAAGCTTGAACATAGGAAGTTCCGTCTTAACATGAGGAGGAACTTCTTTACTTTGAGGGTAGTGGAGCACTGGAACAGGCTGCCCAGAGAGGTTGTGGAGTCTCCCACTCTGGAGACATTCAAAACCCGCCTGGATGCCATCCTGTGCAACCTGTTGTAGGTGACCCTGCGCGGGCGGGGGCTTGGACTAGATGATCTCCAGAGGTCCCTTCCAACCCTGACCATTCTGTGATTCTGTGACACGGCCATGCCACAAATCCAAAACAAAATGTAACATGTCAGGAATACAAAACCCTAAACATAATAAAGTGCAAAATAAGCTCCTGTATTTTAACTTGCAGAAACAGCATGACTGTTCCAATGCCTCATTTTCAAGTAGGTTAAAATGTCCTTAAATATTTCCAAATCTCAAGGAAATGACACAAAAAATGACAAAAGATTACCCAGAAGCTTTAATGGTTGCAATAGAAGCGAAGCCGTTCCAGAGATGCCGGTGCAGGGACAGTGCCAGAGGCAGATGCTGTCTGTTGGAGGGCATCAGCCTGGTTCCAGTCTGAAATGGGGAAGTGAGTGACCTGATGAAGTAGGATACATCGTCCCCTTGCTAACAGCTGCCTCGCCCTGACTACTTTTTCTCAGCAAATTTTAGCTTTAGCAGCAACAACAAAAGCTTATAAGCTCTGTTTTCACTCTATACTTTATTTGAAGTCTGAGTTCATAAATGCATATTCGTATCACAGCAAATTATAAGGACATCATTTACCTGTAGAGTGTAAGGTGTAAAATTACTCAGTCTTTCATTTTGAAAGTGGTAAGAGGTATCTAAATTCTATATATCGTTGTAAAAGCATGAGAGGGGATCTAAATTGTATGTATTATTCTAAAAGCATGGATTTGGGAGATGTCCACAACATTTCTATTTCAATCTTCTGTAGCAAAGATCCCCTTTTATTATGCTAGAAAGCTTAGAAAACTCATTTTTCCTGCAAAATTTTTAAATGTTTCAAAACATTGGACTTCAGTTTGACCTTCTCTCATTCCAGTGTTCAAGAACATCAAATTCGTGTGTCTTCCCAGAGAGGCCACTGAAGCTGGTTTCATGGGAAAAAGGAGGACTAAAATCCTTCTCTGACAGATTGTGAAAAAAAATGCCAGAATTTAATTTTCTTCTGTTTCACTAGGGTAACAGAATATAACCAAAAGGACTTAAACCACACATTT